CCCAAGGGTCGAAGATTCGTGGCTATTGCCAATGACATTACCTTCAGGATTGGATCTTTTGGTCCCAGAGAGGATGAATATTTCTACCTCGCTACCCAATATGCCCGCAAGCTCGGAGTACCCCGCATTTATCTGTCCGCGAACTCTGGAGCTCGTATCGGCTTAGCAGAAGAAGTGATGAACCTTTTCTCGTGCGCATGGAATGTACCAGGTCAACCGGAGAAAGGCGTCAATTACCTTTACCTGACACCTGAAGCGGAACTGAAGCTCAGAGAGAAGGGTTCAGGAGCTGTTCGAACAGAACAAATCGAAGACGAAGGAGAGGTTCGGCACAAGATTACTGATATCATTGGCTTACAAGATGGTCTCGGTGTCGAGTGCTTGAAAGGTTCAGGCTTGATTGCTGGTGAGACCTCTCGTGCCTACGACGATATCTTCACGATCACTCTTGTCACTGCTCGCTCCGTTGGCATTGGTGCATATCTTGTCAGACTGGGCCAGAGAGCTGTACAAGTAGAAGGCCAGCCTATTATTCTCACTGGCGCTCCCGCTTTGAACAAGGTCCTCGGCCGCGAAGTTTACACCTCCAATCTCCAGCTCGGTGGTACTCAAATTATGTACAAGAACGGCGTGTCACATCTCACTGCTGGTAGTGACTTGGATGGAGCGACCCATATCCTCAAATGGCTGTCCTATGTACCAGAGCACCGTGGCGCACCGCTCCCGATCACTATTTCTCGAGATTCATGGGATCGTGACATTGACTACGTACCACCCAAGGGCCCCTATGATCCAAGGTGGTTCATCGAAGGAAAGCGTGACGAGATCTCGTCTGAATGGATGAGTGGCTTCTTTGATGAAAGTTCTTTCCAGGAAACCCTCAGCGGTTGGGCACAGACGGTGGTCGTTGGCCGAGCAAGACTCGGTGGAATTCCTATGGGTATCATCGCAGTTGAAAGTGAGTAGCTTCTGTTGTGACCAAGTCCTTTTCTCAACCTTCCCTAGCCCGTACGATAGAACGTATTGTCCCTGCGGACCCTGCCAATGCTGCATCCTTTGAACAAAAGATCATGGAGGCTGGTCAAGTCTGGTACCCTAATTCTGCATACAAGACTGCCCAAGCAATCTTCGATTTCGATCGTGAACAACTCCCTCTCATCATATTCGCCAATTGGCGTGGCTTCTCTGGTGGTCAACAGGATATGGT